TTTCATCTGTGTATGTGTGTACGGGATCTGGGTATCGTCTATGCATGACCCAGACCCCACCATCTCATGATTGTATGTGTGTGGAGTGATGCCATGTAGGTCAGTCTATGTGAGTCAGTCTATGTGAGTCAGTTCGTTATCAGACTTCCGCTGCATAAATGCTCATCCTATATTGGTTGATCTTTGGTTCTGCCCATCCTATATTGGTTGATCTTCTCTGTATCGTTCCAATTTTAACGGATGTCCCGAAGGACACATTGGTTCTTTTCTCTTTTTTGGTTTGTCCTCTTTTTCTTTCTCTGTGCTGCTCGTCTTGGTTTCAAGTGGACGTGACCGGCTCGCGAATGGCATCGCTCCACTACTCACCACATGCACAAAAGAAACAAAAATATGGTGGTGTATCTTTCCGTTTTCTAGTGGAAGGTGCATTCTCATTTGGGTAGCAGTGGAGTGAGCCCCAAAGTGAGCTGTGCATCAACGGCCATGATCCACTACAGAAAGCCCGACATGCATCGGGACACTTCAGTACTCACTAACGGCAGGACAGTTATGTATGAGCAAAGTCAAACGCAGATTACAGAAGCTGAGAGCACACCAAATGAAAACACTCTGACGCTGTAGTCTCTCGATAAAGAAAGCCCAACCTCCCGCCTCCACTCATCAATACAATCACAATGTAGTTGTGCATCAACGGCCATGATCCACTACAGAAAGCCCGACATGCATCGGGGCACTTCAGTACTCACTAATGGCAGGACAGTTATGTATGAGCAAAGTCAAACGCAGATTACAGAAGCTGAGAGCACACCAAATGAGAACACTCTGACACTGATATCTCAAGTCGATCACCCTCTGAAAAAAAGAGGACACTCTGACACTGTAGTCTCTTGATAAAGAAAGCCCAACCTCCCGCCTCCACTCATCAATACAATCACAATGTAGCAGCTCTACTATGATGTGATCACCTGTGCTACTCTCCTAGTCTCTCTTTATCCACAGCCTACTCACTCTATCCACTCTCCTCTCGCCTAACAGTGCGGTGGAGTCTGAACACGACAAGTGTGCTCTTTGGCCATTGCCATGTGAGTCCAAGTCCACCTCTCCTCCCACTGTCCTTCTCACCTCATCACCCCAGCCCCAGCCCCAGCCCCAGCTCCAGCTCCATCTTCTTCCACCCAGCGTAGCTATGGATGTCACTGGCAGAGCAGGTAACCCGCGGCTGCTCCTCTCCTTTTTCTTTGTGTGGGCAGTGGACTGGCTGCTGGTCCTCCTGCAAGGCTAGCGCTGGCAGCCAGTGCCTCCGAATGTGTGGAATGCTTCAGCCTCCTCCCTTCTCTTGTTTCCTGGAGGCCCCGGCTGCCTGACTTTAACTGGGCTCTTCTCAGCCTGAGAACGTTCCGGACTGAGTACGGGGTCCCCAGCCTCTGCAACTGTGAGGCTGGGCCTACAACTTAGTTGAGAGGCTGCTCCCGGCCTTTCTTCCAACTGTCTCATGCCAGCGTTCGCTCAGCGGACCCTTATTCTGCACTTCAGGCCGGGCCTGATTTTTCTGGGCGGATCCTGGTGGAGGCTTGCCAAGGCCTGAAGCCTTGCACTTGCTCCTCTTCATTCCTCTTGACATTCAGATTTGATTATTTAATATTTATCCTTCTCTTGTGCTCTCTTATCGTCTTTCTTCCTCGTTTGCTCTCGTTCTTCCTCTTTCTGCCTCCTTCCGTCTTGCTCCTTTTTCTCTCTCTGGCTTTCCTCCATCCTCTGCCAGCATAAGTGATACTATGGCAGCAATGCCAATGGTGGTGAAGTTGCCTGCTGTACAGGCAGAAGCTGCTGCACTCTCTTGCATGAGGGGCGGACCTGGTTTTCATGACTAGTGAATAAGAAGGTAATTCAGACATGTGTAACTAAGAATTAAGAAAAAGTGCACTTTTTTTTTTCTACATTCATATAGAGGCAACCAAACAGAGAGTTCTGAGCTGAAGTTGCAATTCTTAATGTATGGTACTGGTACAGGGTACAGAGGGTTTGGCGGACCCTATTCGGTTTCTGTTCAATTTGGGACTTGGAGAGGACAAAGACAACGACGAGGAGGAAGAGGCTGAGGCTGCATCCAAAGATGAATGGCAAAAGAAGGAATCAGAAAATCAGTTGGGTGGGTGGGAAGGGAGATGGCAAGAGCAGTACGATCGGGACAACAATGAGCAAGCTTCCTCTTTTCGGAGGGAGCATGATGAAGCGGTGGGTGTTGCCGGCAGGGATTCTGAGCCAAAAGAGGAGGAGAGGGGAATGGCTCTGATGAGCTGGGAAAGGATGCCTGCTGCTGAGGAAGGGTGGGCAGGAAAGGCAGAAGAAGAAACGGCTATGGTGGATGACGTGGAGGCTGTGCCAGTCTCTCAAAGCGGTGTGGAAGTTGATAATGTGGCTAGCAGACTTGCTGTGCTGGATAATCCTGCGCAACGTATGGAAAATCTGACATCGATGTTACCAACCAGTGAAGGTCACGATCCAATGGTGTCAATGAGTGTGCCCAGCGAACACCTACTACCTGAGGAGGGTTCTGTGGAGCAAAGGGGTCCTGTTGAAAACCAAGGCCTATTGATCGCATCGCCTTCCAGAGGTCAGAGAGACAGAGCAGATGAGAGTGAATCTGGTCCCAGTGAAGGTGGTTTGGCCGGGCAGAGCTACCGGAGTGGCGAGGAGAATGTCACAGCTTCACCTCCACCAGTTGACACTACAAAAGCTCAGATTACTGCCAACATCACGCAAGAAGAAAGGAGTGCAGAAGAGGGGCAACAAGCTGCTGCAGAGCTGGGTCCAGATCGGGTTCAGCTGAGTGCTGCTGCTACTGGAAAAGAGAAAGTGCTGGGAATGCAGTTGGACTCAGCCAAACAGGACACCCGGAGTGGTAGTAGTGAGAAAAGCGATGCCAGACCTGTTGGAAAGGTGCCAGCAGAAGATGAGGTGGAGAAGTGGCGAAGAGAATGCGAGATGTTGAAAAAGTTGCTTGTGAAAGCGGCTGAGGACAGAGGGCAGCTGGCAGTCCAGTTAGCAAGCGTGGAGGACAAGCTAGAGCACCGAGGTGCCATGGTTACTAAGTTGGAATTGGAGCTGCAGTTAGCGTCGTCAACAGCACAGAAACAGAGAGAGGTACGTTGGCAAGTTGCAACCCAGTGTGGCTGTGAACCCATGTAATTTGTGCGGTTTGGTTGGTTAAGTTGCGAGCAAGTGCAGCGAGGGGGACAGAAAACATAAAAGGCAATTGCATCTGAAAGTGAGGGATAAATAGAGAAAAGAGAGAAGAGGGAAAGCAAGAAAAACAGAGGAAGAAGGAACTGTGCAAAGCTAGCGAGTGGACACGTGCGCAGGTTCCTGGCTGAGCCCATCAACCACATGATGCAGTTGTTGCAAGTAGGCGGTGAGCGATATATGTCTATAAATTCTATGCTGAGTTTGTTGCCTACCCTCAATAGGACACCTACTTACTTTGTGTCTGGTCGTGCACAGAAAAAACGAACGTGTAACATTGCCACATTTTCTGCTGATGTGACTTTCCGAAGAGTGATGAGACACAAGTTCAGTTTATCCCCACTACTATACAAATCCTAAATGTCATTTCCCAATGACCTGGGTTGTGCACAGGTCAACGGCCCAGATCTGCGGCCACTCACCAAATGTTAAGACCGTCTGCTGGCAAACAGCCCAGAAGCATGGGGGGTCTTAAAGTTTGGTGATTGGCTGCGGATCTGGGCCATCTGCCCACACATGGCCAAAATCACCGGCATATTCACTGGCCAAAGTTTGGAAAGCAGCATGCGCCATCCACCTGGGGAGGCCTACTAGCCCTCCCAATTTTTTTGTTCCCCACCCAGAAAAAGTGAAGGGGGGCCCGTAGGCCCTTCATGGCCACAGTGGAAGGCCTACTGGCTGCTGCCGGCTTAAATGACAGTAGGAGGGCCGATTGCCTAAGCTCCGCATGCAGGGCCTGCTGGTCCTTTCAATGTGCGGCACTGCGGAACACTCTGTGTTCTTGTGTGTGTGTGTGTG